TCCATGAGATGCGTCCACCCATCTTCCGGGTAGGTTTTCACTTCCCAGTTAAACTTCTCAGGGAACATCCTTACAGACACACCCAGCGGTGTTTCCTCTAGGTGATTTTACGTTCAGTGAGGTTGACGGTGAAGATGTATGCACCATTACAAGTAAGTGCTTTATGTAAGCAGTCACAAAAACACTGTAGATGGGAATTTAACTCTCAGTGAGCATCTCTCTTGTTGATGGAGCTGCCTCCAGAAAGGGCTGAGTCAAAGTTAGCAAGATTTACCCTCCAGGCTGCACCATCTGTCTTAACACCCCGAGGACACCTACACAAAAGATAGCAACTGATTGTCTTGGCCCTGTTCTCGCAGCCTGGGTCAGGACTTTGTGCAGTCACAAACCTGAATTAATCATTTTCACTTGGCCAGAGAGGGCGCGCTTACCCTGGTGGAGGGACCACTGTGGTAGGTGATTAATGACAAAATGGAGGGTCGTTGTGCGGTCTCTGCAGCCACCTCACACATGTGGCATACACTCGGACACACACGTGGGAGCCCCAGGCCTCAGCAGAAGTACAGCCACAGCAAAGAGGCCTGAACAGAAGGCCTCCCCCGCCCCCTCCCCACACACTCTCAACTGCCCCTGACCTTTGCCCTAGTTACAGAGAGAACTGGAACACCTCCCCCCCACCCCCACCCCTCCAGGGAAGGGCCAGTCAGAAGCAGACAAGCAGCTCTAGGTGTTCCTCCGCTGAGACTAAAATGTTACAATTCCCTAGACCAAGAGAGCCAGTCAGCTCAGTCCAGATACCCCTAACCAGGCCTTGAGCCAATCCCAGGTCTGTAACTAGGGAGTCTTGGAGTCCCCCAACCCCCTTGCCTAGCCACTATAAAAACCCTCAACCTGTGCTACCTGAAGTCTCTCCCGCAGAGAGGCCTGAGTTAACTCCAATTAAAGACTCTTTGATTTTTGTATCAAATTTGGTCTTCTTGGTGGTCTTTTGGGAATCTGGACTTTGGATACGGGGACACACACACACACACACACACACACACACACACACACACACACGACACGTCATTAGTGAAACAAATGGCTGTTATTGGCCCAAAGGTCCCTTCTCGGACTGTATAAGCAGGCTGCTCCTCAGAGGGTCTGTCAGGAGGCTCTTTCCTGTCCTGCTCCTCAGATGGTCTGTCAGGAGGCTCTTTCCTGTCCTGCCTCTCACGGTGTTGCGATGTCAACCAGCAATGCCTTTAGTGAATGGCCTTTCCGTGCTTACTTTCAGTAATGTAGGCCGTACTGGAAAAAGCAAGAAACACTAGCAGGTTGGCAACTGTGGCCCACAGCTTGGCAGGTACCAACTCCTCCACTTCTGTCCAGTGTTTTCATTGTTGCTATTTTGTTGGCTGGTTGGTTTTTTGAGACAGGGTTTCTCTGTGTAGCCCTGGCTGTCCTGGAACTCACTCTGTAGACCAGGCTGGCTTTTGATACCACCTTGAATCTGATGCTGGTCTCCTGAACAACCTTGCCTTGTCTAATAATCTTTTGTAAGTTCTCGGGCCCTTGCTTCCCAAGACTAAGTGTGGATGGAGGCTTCAGCACAGCTGACTGACAGATGAGGAAGCTGTAGTCTGCAAAAGTATTGATTACCCAGGGTTCCTGGGGATTTCGCTACATCCAGTGTGGGATATCTGAGGGAAAAAAATCTACGTACACTATGTTCTTATGTCTGTAACTTTATCCCTCTAAGACAAAATTCTATCAATACAGCTATAACTCCGTCAGGCATTCAGGACAAGAATAACCCTAGCTAGGTACACCAAGCTCTTTATCTGTCTACTCTATTTCTCTGGGGTGAAATCCTGTCTACATAGCTTCAATTCCTTCTGGTTCCCTCTGAGTCCTGCTAACAACTAAGCTCTTATGCTTCCAACCTCATCTTCATCCTCTGTTTCCTCGTTCTCCATTTCTACTGCTCTCTACTCCCGGCAGTGACGGACTCTACAGGAGTTACCGTCTTCAAAACCTGTCTTCCTCTCCTCTCTGGCCATGCCTTCTGTCCGCTCTACAGAAAATGCCTGTCCTTTCTTTGCCTGGCCCCAGGTTCTCTGCCTTCTCAGGATGTTGTTCTACTTTCTACTTTGATATGTAAAAACCTCTTATGTTCTCAGTTGCTCTGGAGAGCCCCTAGGCCTCGAGGCAGGGAGATGGTCTGAGCCTCATTTGCCCAAGAAGCAAAGCTACATGTCTGGGTGGGGGCAGTAAGTAACCTAGAAGTTCAGCAGGTTTGGGGAGCTGAAATGTTAGCCAAATGGTCAGGAAAATATTTGGGCACACAGAATTTCATAGACAGCTGAAATACTAAAAGCTGGATAGCACCAAATATTCATAATAAATGGCTTGCCTTTTGACAGACCCTTGGCCAGTCAAAGTATAGCGTTAATACACAGCTGAATCTCTGTAATGTTTTCTTGTGGCTCGCCTCTGACTTACTCCTGACAATGCCCACAGGCAAGAGTGCCCCTGGCGGAGCTGGTGCAGTCCCTAAAGCCCTGGAGAGTCCATCTGCTGGAGGAGATGCTTCCCGAGTGGTCCTCCTTGGGCCCAGTGTCCAGAGTCTGAACAGGCCTTCAGGTGCCCTGGCTCTCAAACATGGTTCTAGCACATCCCACGTAGTCTTGACCATGGCACTGATAGCTGAAGACGCTGAAATGTTGTCGAATATTATTTCAAGGTGTGTTACTTTTGTTCATGCTCTGGAACATTAGCTTAATGATGCAAAGGCAAAGATTTGATTAAATAAAGTTCACCTGTGGTTAGGAGGCTGAGTCAGCAACTAGCTGACAGGAAGTCTTAGGGAGGAGCCAGGTAAGAAAGGGTTTTTAAGGAGGGACAAGGAGGCGAAGCATGAGGGCTTTTTGGAGGAGGCGAGCGAGGAGAGGAGCTACCTGGTATTCAGCCTCTGCAGAGCAGAATTCCACCTTAACCTTTAAATCTTGAGTTCTTTAGAGGGAGAGAGGTTTAGTTAAGTTCCCTTCAAAGCTTTGCCAGAATTGGAGCCAGAGGGAACAGAATCCCCTCCAGCTACGGCCCTTTGCGGCATAACTGTTGCTGGTAGCTGCGGCGGAGTTGATGTTGCTGATTCAGACAGCTGTGGTTTAAAAGCCAGCAACCATTTAACTAAAGGTGAACACTGAAAAGTTCCTACAGTGGTCAGGGCATAAAGAAAAGGGAAAGTGGAAGCATTAGAGAGTGCCATTTGACAATGCCCCCTCCCACTAACTGCCACCACTCACTACTGTCACACTGAGAGAGTCGAAAGCTGCTGGAGACCAACGTTTAGCAAGCCTGCCTACCCTACTTGGCCAGCTGTGCATCAGTTCTTCCTGGTTCAATGTAACTCTGTGGCAGTCCAGTCCCAGCAGAGGGGTGTGTGTGTGTCCACCCCTGCATGCATGTGCAGTGTTCATCCCTGGAGCTGGAGTCAGTTGTGAGCTGCCTCACGTGGGTGGTAGGGAATGAACTCAGGTCCTCTGGAAGAGCAACAAGTGCTTTTGAAACATCTTTCCAGCTCCCAATTCTGCTTTTGATGCTTGACTGCTGTGGTGGTTTGAATGAAAATGGCCACATACACTCACAGAGAGTGGCATGTCTGGAGGTGTGGCCTTGTTGAAGTGTGTCACAGAGTGGACTTTGAGGTTTCAGAAGCTCAAGCCAGGCCCAGTGGCTCACTCTCCCTTCCTGCTGCCTGAGGATCCAGATGTAGAACTCTGAGCCCCTCTCCAGCACCAACCACATCTACATGTACTCTGCCATGCTTCCAGCCATGATGATAACAGACTAAACCTCTGAACTGTAAACCAGACCCCGATTGTTTTCCTATGTAAGAGTTGCCACGGCTTGTCTTATTAAATTAAATGGCATGCCTTTAAAATGTACTGTCTCCACTTTCCCTTGTACCCTACAATTTGACAAACCAAGAGCCCCCAGATGCTCCTTTGATACCTGTGGGAAATTCAAAGCTCATGCAGGAACCATTAAAGCCAATCTTTCCCTGTTCTGTGAGGCCATTTTTTTTCAGACAGGCCTAGCAGCTGTCCTGATCTGTCCAGAAAGCTTCATTACATCAGGATTAATACCTCATTGGTATGTGATTTCATTAGTCTTGATACCTGAACTAAATTAAGGAAGTGAATCCACCCTCTCAGCATGGGCCCCCATGAGGAAATAGAATTCTCTTACATTCCACCCCTCCTGTATTTTTCTTCACATATTAATATCATCTATTAATAACATAATCTTTATTTGGTTTTTCCAACTAAACATATCCCAGAATCTAGCGACATGTCGTGCATAATTATCCACCCCGCCAACAAATATTTAGTGTATGCTTACGCTGGCATTGTGCTTCAACGGGGAATCAACACCTCACTCAGCTCCAGAGGGCGGGGAAGTGAAATGAAAGAATACTGACACTGGGCCAGGTGGTGGTGCACGCCTTTCATCCCAGCTCTTGGGAGGCAGAGGCAGGGGGATATCTGTGAGTTCAAGGCCAGCCTGGTCTACAGAGTGAGATCCAGGACAGCCAGGGCTATCCTGTCACAGAGAAACCTTGTCTCAAAAAACCAAAATACATACCTACATACCTACAAACATACAAACACACACTGGGCTGGAGAGATAAAGTGGATAAAGTCCTTGCTGCATGAATATGAAGACTGGAGTTTGGATCCCCAGAACCCACATTAAAACGCCAGGTGGGTGTGGCAGCTCATTGTAATCCCAGTGCTCAGTAAAAGAAGACAGGATTACTCTGACTCATTAGCCTCGCTCAATCAGCAAGCCTCAGTTTTTAAGGTAGAGAGAAAGATACTGGGCATGACCTCTGGCCTCCATATGCACATGCACTGACATGCATTCACACATGAGGACATGCACACAGGTAGCATATACATACACATTTTAAAAAGAATAGTAATATTCCTTTTATGTAGGTAAGATACTAAAACCAATATTAAACATGATTTTATTCAGTTTTGCCTCAAAATCATGTTTATTTAAAAATAATTTGGGGATTTATACTCAAGTTGTGTGCATTACAAAGTAGAGAATCAGAACACTTATTTGTAGCTTAGTTCTAAGGAGTTCTTAGACCTACACCTTGTCGACATTATCAAGGTTGGAGAGTTGATTTCTGGCTAATGATACAGAACAGCAAGAATTTTTCCAATCATCATCACCACACACTAACCACCATCACACAGTAACTTGTCGTTTTTTTTTTTTTTTTTTTTTTTTTTTTTTTTTTTTTGAAAAGCATAAGATTTCTTGAATGCAGTCCCATTAGGAAGAGGAAGAAACAGGTCTCAGGATTCCCAACCATTCCCCACCATCCTGCTAAATCCAGGTTGGGGTCCTTGGCATAAGGTTCAGGTTTAAGGAGAAGGCAAGAGGTATGCCTATGTATGTTTGTTCCCAATAATCTCCTTCACATGAAAGATGCAAAATAATGAGTATCATGTATCCATATCCTTGCATTTCAAATGCCATAAAAATAGCATTTACATAGTGAAATTACTTATTGTTTTTCTTCTGTGCTGGGGGTTAAGCTGGGGTCTTGCTTGCTATGGAAGCACTCTCTTCAGGGCCCTCTAGTGGATTTTTGAATTAGTATCAGCTCCTGAGTTAGTGATTTAATCATTTCTTCTTCTAAGCAAGCATCAGCTGCTTTAATCTCTCCCAAACGCATGGGTCTCCTTGGGCTGATCAATGCGATAGAGGAACTGTGCAGGCAAGAAGTAGCCAAGATACTCCACTGTGTCTGGGGTGGTATCATAGTGGTAATGTCTACCTTCTCCATGATGACTGAAGAAATGAGTATGCTCCAGTCGTAAATCCAGCCCCTAGGACAACGGACAGTCTGTTAGTATGGATTCCAACTATTTTTATTACAATGTATTTAAGGGAAGGAGAAGCTTTTGTTTTTCCCCCAGGGTTTCTCTGTGTAGTTTTGGTGCCTGTTCTGGATCTCGTAAACCAGGCTGGCCTCCAACTCACAGAGATCTGCCTGCCTCTGCCTCCTGAGTGCTGAGATTAAAGGAGTGCACCACCACCACCACCACCACCACCACCACCACCACCACCACCACCACCACCACCACCACCACCCTGCTACCTTTTGTTACTTTTAAAAAATTTTTAACACTACTTTTTGTTTCTTTGAGACAGGAACTTACTACATGGCTGAGATTAGCTTTGAACTCTCAATCTTCCGACCTATATCTCCTGAATGACAGATCACAGGCCTCTATCACTAAACCTGCAATGAAATGTTTTGTAGTGCTGGTGCTTGAATCCAGGGCCTCACGCATGCCAGGCGAGGGCTCTATCACTGAGTTCCATCTTCCAGCTGACTAGTGTTTAAGGAAGCAATGGAGTCACATGATAAGAGAAGCCAAGGATGCAAGAGGGTAAGTCAGCACAGTCATGGAGACGTAACTGCCCTCTTTCTTCCCTTCCTTTCCTCAAGGCAGCAGACATGAGCAGCTTCCTGTATGTCCTTCTGGAAAGACTCGTAACATTTTTACCCAAACTGTAGCTTTCTGTGACTGTTCTGCATACTGCTTACTTAAAAATGAACACCACAGGGGACTGGGGAGGTGGCTCACTGGTTAGGAGCATAGCTGCTCTTCCAGAGGACCCGGGTGCAATTCTCAGCACCCACGTGGCAGCTGTAGCCATCTGTAACTCCAGTTCCAGGGAGTCGGACACCTTCTTCTGGCCTCCAGGGACAACAGGCACACACATGTACATAGACACACATGTCGGCAAAGTACCCATACACACAAAAGTAACAACGTTTAGTTTTTTCTTCACGAACTGCAATATAGCTGGAGATTTTAAATGCTTCGGCTTTCTGTGACACCGGTGTAGCGCTCCGCTCAGGGACTGGCTCTGTCAACAGCCACATTTACAGTATTTCTACTCCAAACTGTTGTCACTGTCATCCGTTAGCTGATCACTTTACAGTCTTGTAAAGACAAAATCTTAGATACTGCCACTGGCTCCAAAGGCCTCCCCATCACTATTTTGTTTGAACTGGTCGACAGCACTTACTTCTAGCCTGTAGCATTAGACTATGATGAACTCCAAACACAATGGAAAGAGATCCAAATCTTGTGCTTTATTATTATTATTTATTGGTTTTTTGAGACAGGGTCTCACTGGTCCGGACCTCACAGAGAACCTAGGGAGTGCTGGGATTAAAGGCATGTTCCACCACGCCCAGCTCTTTTATTATTTAATAGAACAACTTCTGCGTAGTTTACAATGCCTGTTCTTTTACTTTACTGAAGGTAAAATCTGCTCAGCCTAACACTCAGTGAGTGTAGAAAGCCACACATCCCCTCATCTTTCAGAACAGTTCCCATAAACTGGGCATGGTGACGCACACCTGTAACTTCAGCACTGAGAAGGCAGATGTAGGCAGGAGGTCATCCTTGCCTACAGAAGGAGTTGGTGGTGGCCTGGATTGATGCATGAGGTCAAGAAATTAAAAAAAAGAAATCATGTGTGATGGCACATGCCTTTAATCCCAACACTTGACTTGTGAACCAGAGGCATGTGGCCTGGTCTACATAGTGAGTTCTAGGATGGCTAGGGCTGTGTAGAGAGACCCTGTCTCAAAAAAAATAAAATAAAATAAAATAAAAATAAAAACCCAAATAAAAAACACCCAGCTGGAGAGATGATGGCTCAGAGGTTAAGAGCTCTGGCTGTTCTTCCAGAGGTCCTGAGTTCAATTCCCAGCAACCACATGGTGGCTCATCTGTAATGAGATCTGGCGCCCTCTTCCAGCCTGCAGGCATACATGCAGGCAGAACACTATATACATAGTAAATAAATAAAAATAAAAAAAAAACAAAACAAAACAAATAAAACCCATCCCCCGCCCCCCAAAATCCACAAGGCTATCCTCCTGCTTAAATAACAAAATCCATATTCGGCTGGCAAGATGGTCCAGCTGGCCAAGTGCTTGCTGCCCAGGCAGACAAGCTGAGTCTGATCTGTGTACTCACATGGTGGGAGAGAAGTGACTCTAACAAGATGTTCTCTGACCTCCACACATGTGCTGCAAGTGCACGTGCACACACACACCCCACACAATAAGTAACTATTTTAAAAATGAGTATGCCACCAAGCATTATGACTGAGTATAAAAGGCAGATGAAGACTCACCGGGTCTTTGGAGACAAAGACTGGCAGACAGACCAAAGGAGCCTTCATCTCATAGAAATGTAACCACTTATTAACAGCTTCATCTGAGGTCAATGGGCAGGAAGAAAACTCTGCTGGCTGCGAAAAGAAAATTGTTAAACAGGAAAACACACCGACTATTAAATGAGAATTAAAAACATTCAAAATGTGACTTCATTGTAAATTTTATACATCTCACTGAATGGTTTTGGCATTAATTACATACCCCAGTTTTAAGGCTGGCCAATCAATTTGTACGAACTAAAATTAATTCCTAAGTCAATGAAGGAGTGAGGCAATCACTATCTGCTTTTACTTTTCATAGACCTTCAGTCTCTCTGCTGTATATGTTTTCCATTTGATGTGTGATTTTAATTTAATTTTTTGTGGTAACTGGGGACCTGATAATACTTATGCAAGTACTGTACCCCTGAGCCATGGCCCCAGCCCCTCCCCATTCTAAACTATGTTTCTGCTGTAGTTCTGGGAATGAGACCAGCAGCACTCGATCACAGAGCTACCTGGCTTTCCCTTTCCAATCCTTCCACCCCAGTCTTTTGTTTTTTCTCCAGTGCTAGGGATCAAACCCAGGGCCTTGCACATGCTAGTCAAAGCCTCTCCGCTGAGCCCCAGCCCCAGTGCTTGTGAGTTTGATCTGTACCCCGTAACTGCTGCCGGGAATAGCAAGTGGTGGAAAGAGAAACAAGGCCCTGCAAGTTGGCAGAGGCATTAAAGAGAATAAAATACTTTGCAATAAGCTTAAAAAAGGAGGTGAGAGAACATATATAGCAAACTATAAAAATTGCTGGAAGAAATTAGAGGGAGGCCAGCAATTTGCTTCAGCAGGTCAAAGTCCTTGCAACCTGAATTTGACCCCTCAAATGCACAATGGAAGAAAAAATCCAACTTTCTATTAAAAAAAAAGATTATTAATGTATGTGTGTATGATGGGTGTGTGTGTGTGTCACAGTGCCAATATGGAGGTCAGAGGACTACACAGAGTCTGTCTAAGTGCAATTTGGGCATTAAACTTTATCTCCAGGCCTCCAAAGCAGGCAGCTCTCAGCCTGAGGACAGACTTCTGAAAATGTCCTCTGATCTCCACACGTGTGCCCCTGCATTCACACATACACCACACACAATAATAAAAACACGGAGAAGTTAGGACGGAAAATGTGCTGTGCTTAGGGAAGTCAGCGATGACTGGAGATGGAGATGTCGGCACTCGTGAAGACTGTCTGAGGACTTGGTCAGGGTTGAGGGCATCTTAGCAGCACTACAGTCCTTGCCTCCCGAGTGTAAGAGCTTGGCTTCTATCCCTAGAACCCCACTCCTATCCAGTAACAAGACTCATCACTGCAGGGATGTGGTTCTGTGGAAAAGTGACTGTGAGGCCCTGGGTTTCATCATCAGCATGGCAAAGAGAAAATCAACGTAATCGCTATTTACATGCTGGTCTCACTATGTATCTCTGGCTGGCCTGGCACTCACAGAGGTCTGCCTGCCTCTGTTCCCAAGTCCTTGATTAAAGACATGCACCACCACACCAAGCTGCTATTTACATCTTAATGATTTCTTTCTTTCTTTTTAAGTGGACAAACCCACCTAAACTTTCTATGAAATACCAGTGAAATTTTAAAAACAAATCTGTAAAAGAAGTGAGAAGTTTTCACTTCTTAGCTAGCGTGATTGACAGGGGACAGCTGCACAGCCAGGCATGTTCTCCTGGCTCCTGTCCACTGCTGTGATAAACCACAACCAAAGGCCTCGGTAGGAAGGGGTTATTTCACCTTACAGCTTCCAGTCCATCATGAAGGAAGTCGGGGCAGGCACGGAAGCCCAACCACGGAGGAGTGCTGCTTACTGGCTTGCTCTCCATGGCTTGCTAGGCCTTATCTTTTACACCACCCTGCCCATAGTGAGCTGGGCCCTCCCATATCAAGCATTAATTGAGAAAATACCCCACAGACTTGCTCACAGGCCAATCGAATGGAGGCAATTCCTCAGCTGAGGTTCACCCTTCCCAGGTGACCGACCTATGTCAAATTGACAAAAACTAACCAGAACACATGCAGACCAATGCAGCAGAGGAGAGAGGCCAGAAACAAAGCCTTGCATGGAGTTGGGGTAAATGATTTCTTTCCTTTTAAAAAACGGTATTTATTTTAATTTTGTGTGTTTTCATGTTTTTCCTGCATGTATGTGTGTACACCATGTGCATGCCTGGTGCCCGTGTAGCCTAAAGAAGGCATCAGATCCCCTGGAACTGGAGTTAATGAAGGTTGTGAGCCACTGTGTGGGGGATGGAAATTGAACCCAGGTCCTCAGCAAGAGCAGCAAGTGCTCTTACCATTCTGTCATTTCTCCTGCCTGGGTGAGTGAGTTTTCAACAAGAGTGTCAAGCAGGAGTCAATGGGAAAAGCGGACACACACATGCAGAGGGACGAAGCTTGTGTGATCTCTGCACCATATATAAGCTACCTTCAATGGAGCAAGGATAGAACGTCAGAGCTAAAATTTACAGAAATGAACAAAAAACCACAGGGGAACATTCCTGTGAGGCTGGGGTTGATCATGGTTTGTTGGGCCATGTGAAAATTAAAGAAACTTTTACCATGAATGGTATATATCTGTGATCCTAGCACTTAGGAGGCTGAGGCCAAAGACGTGTTAATCCAAAGTCAAGGCAGTCTATAAGTAAGTTTGAGACTAGCCTGAGGTATCCAGCAAGACTCTGACCCCTCTTCCTCACAAACGGTGAAAAGCGCTGTGTCTGTGCAGGCAGCCGCAGAGCCCTTACCATGATGTGGGCCTTGACTTTCCCCTTCTGCACCACGAAGGTGCCTCCCATGCCCACAGGCTTGTTTCCATAGTGCTCTTCCAGAGTCTGCCTCATGCAAGTCACAAAGTTGAGCTGTCCTGTCCTTCTCTTGGCTTGCACCTTGATGACCTGCGGAGGGTGAAATGGTGCACAGAACCTCACCAACTGTCAGATTCTATGTAGATAACTACCTAAATGTACCATTGTAAAACTTACTGCCTCCAGGAAATATTCTTGTCTGCTCAGCACACAGATTAGAGTTGAGGGGTCTCAGTCCTTGTCTTAATTAAATCTCTCTCTGTCTCTCTGTCTCTGTCTCTGTCTCTCTCTCTCACACACACACACAGACACCAGCTATGTGCGACTCCAACACTCTTATTCATGAGTCCTTGAACTGAGTCCTACGCTGAACTCTGGAGACCAAGATGGGGAAAGTTTGAGGATTACCAGGCTTAACGGGATTCATCTCTGGTAATGGGGGCTCACGACATGTTTACAAGGTCTCACTTCCTATAAAATTCTGGATGAGGTCTCCCTACGTTCTTGGGTACTTTTAGATCTCTATTTCGTTTCTCAAGCAGCTCAAGTGGCTCTTCTTTCAAGATCTAAGTCCTCACAGAGGCTAATACTGAGATGAAGCAGGCATTGATTCTCCTTCTCCTTTTCTTGTTTCAGCGACCACTTCCGGCACAATCGTGTTATCCCGAAATAAACAGATTATTTACTATCTGTAAGTAGGCACGATCTTATTGTTTCATGCAAGTGACAACACCCTAGATTAGTATCTTGTTATCTTCTACTCAGAAAAGTGTCCTGTTTACTAAGTAATATTCTTAACTTTGGTTTTAAAAAAGATTTTGTCTTTCCCTGCACTGTTCTGAATAATTAATTAATTAATTATATAAATAAATAAATAAATAAATAAATATTTAATTATAGAAAAGCTTTGGCATTGGCACATCTGATTTTCTTCGGAGAACTGTACTGGGGCAATAAAAGCTCAATTTTTAGCTGAGAAGACATAAAGAATGCATGGTGTGATGGGCATAATCACCTTGCCAGGTTGGCCCTCACTGGCAAAAAGATTAGCCAGCAGTGCGCATCCAAAGTCGTGGTATTTTTGGCTGTATTTCTCCAGCAGGCACGTCCCATCTGCAGGGTTAATTCGGGCAAAGTAACTTCCGTTCACAGGACGGTTGTGTTCACTTGCTGTCTGAACAACTGGCATGAACTGGAAATAAAAAAGTCAATTTTAGTGTTAATGAATAAAATGTTTTCTCTCAGACTTTAAGAAATGTTATCGCAGGTCTCTTTCCCAACATGTCCCCATAATTTGGTGGTGCTGGTCTTTGCTCATGCTAGGACAGGGCTCCCCCACTGGCCTCCACTCCCTGCCCTTATTTCAAACTGTAATCCACCACCACCACGACCATTCCCCAGTGCCACTTCAGGGACCGGCTAACCCCTCTGTGGGAGTTAATGGCTGGAGAGGAGCTGGCTCCCTCTCCCTGCTCTCTGCTGCCCAGCTGCATAGGTGAGCAGCTTTGTTACACCACGTCTTCCTCACTGCTGTTCTCTCTCCCCAAATGGCTGAAGCAATCGGGAAAACTAGGAGGAACGCAAACTTCTGAAACCATGAACCAAAAGTGTGTCCTTTGAACTACCTACTGCCATGATCTTGTCACAAAGATCATGACTTATAAAATGGTTTTTGAATTTTTCTTTGAGTCATTTATTTTATGTGTCTAAGTGTTTCTCCTGCACATGTGTGGCAGACACGGTGGGTGCTCACAGAGGCCAGAAGGCAGCACTGGATCCCTGGAACTGGACTTACAGAACGGTTGTGAGCTGCCATGTGGGGCTGGGAACCGAACTGGGAGAGTAGCCACTTACCCTGTGAGCCACTTCTTCATCCCCAGTTTTATAAAACGTTTACAACATTTCTTTTTTGGAGACGACTCTGGCTGTGTATCTTAGTAATTTGCTATGAGGCCTAAGCTGGCATGGAACTCACAAACTCAGATACACTCATCTTGCCTCAATTCTGGTACTATTGTGTCTATCCTAACACCTGACAAAATGTCTTCTTATTTAATTAATTAATTATATTTTGAGATAAGGTCATATTCTGTGGTCCTGGCTACCTATGTAGATCAGGCTGACCTCAAATTTATAGTAATCCTGCTCAACCTCTCAAGTATTAGGATTACAAGCATGAGTCATCATGTATGGCTCAAAATGTCTAATCATAGATTTTAACTTTTTTGATGTTGAACACTGGGAAAAGTATATCTTCTGTGAGAGGTTCTGTGATTTTTGAACATTCGGTCTATCTGGTGAGGTTAAAAGAGAGTGGCAGTCTGGTCTCATCAACAAGGATGTAAATCAACAGTGGTGTCTTACTATCATGTGGCATATGTAGTAATACTGTACTTAGTATATATGGCACATATTAACGCGCCACATATAGCACGCATGATACACACTAGCACTAGCCATTAACTTTTGTAAGTAGCCATTGGTTCACTCTGATAGTTTCTTAGTGTTTGGTTTTTAACATGGAGTTATCCCCACCATTTCTCTTTCAATCCAAAGCTGCTTTTATATGACAACAAGGATTTGCAGAGAAGTGAGGGATCCTAATATATGTAAGAATAAAAATCACTAGGTGTGCAGTGGATGTGGCAGTCCCTGAACTGGACAGGCAGAGAAGAAGGATGACTGTGAATTTGAGGCCAGTCTGGACTCCATGGCCTGATTCTGCCTGAAAAAAACAAGGACACACTCAATACACATGCATACACACACAATACGTACAACACACACACACACACACACACACACACACACACACACACACACACTCACACACACCTACCTTTTGGGCTTAACCTGTTTCCTAAAAAACTGGAAAGTGAAGATAGGCACTTCCTTAGCATTGGATCAGGAGTGTCGTCCACTTCCCGATCTGGAGTCATCAACTACTTACAATTCACTCAAAAAGAAGGTGGTTTCATTTTTCCTTTGTGACGGGCTCTCCCACTGTAACCCAGACTGGCTTGGAATTCACTATGTAGCCCATGATGGCCTTGAACTTTAACAATCCTCCTGCCTCAGCCTCTTAAGTGCTAGAACTACATGTAGGCACCACCACTCCCAGCTAAAAGTCGATTTTAACAGTCCATTGAATAACCAGATGTCAAATGAACAGATTACTATACACACACTGACCTCGGAATTGAACCCAAGCGTCTGAAATGGACCTGCCCCTGCTCCAAGGATAAAAGCTCCAGGCAGCTTTATTTCTTTTGCAATTTCATTTAGGTCATAAACCTATAAAAAGAAAAAAGTTACTGAAGTTGTAATATAACAATTTCCTGATTTGTATTTTACAACAGTCCACTGCTTCCTCTTAGTGACAAACAGGAGTCAACCCAGTTTCTCTAGTCTGTGAATACAAAGAATAAAAGCATACTTACTTTTTTTTTGTTTACAAGAGGCATTAAGTAAGGCACACCTCCTACTTCTGCAATTCTAGTTTGCCCACAGATGCCTAAAAAACACAAGCCATCTTAAAAGCAGGCAAACACAGCATTCAAATATAAGATTCCAGAAGCCACTGACTCATCAGGGACAGATGTAAGAGGATCCCAGGGTTGAACTAACAGGGATGGGAAGGTGCAAGTGGTCCCTTCTTGTCCTGCTTCAACTGCCGCCGACAACATCGTCACTGAGCGTGGCTTGGCGGCTGGTGGCATACCGACCACTGGTTATTGAGAGGACAGGGGCCAACTTGTGGGTGGAGCTTCTAGAATTCATCTGCCTAGTAATCCCTTAGAAATCTTCCCCTGCCAAGGGCATTTTCATTTTAAAAAGTGTATTCTTTCTTTTGGCATAAGTTGTATTTTTAAAATTTTAAGACATTTTGCTCAGCTAGAATTTTCTTCTTTAGATCCATGCTGAGAAATCTTTTTTTTTTGGTGGTTTTTTGAGACAGGGTTTCTCTGTGTAGCTTTGCACCTTTCCTGGATCTCACTCTGTAGACCAGGCTGGCCTCAAACTCACAAAGATCCGCCTGCCTCTGCCTCCAGAGTGCTGGGATTAAGGGCGCACGCCACTACTGCCCAGTGAGAAATCTTTTTATGAGTTGTTTATACAAATAACAAGTCTGACAGAAAACCTTCAGATGCTAGGAAGTTTCTGTGCATCTGTGTTCCTCTGTGTCTGTAGTTGTGTAGGTATGTTGTTGTTTTGTGTGAAGGACTGAACCCAGGGCTAAAAACATACCCTGCCACTAAGCTGTCCCCTCCCCAGGGTCTCTGCTTACATTTTAAAATATATTTGATTTATTAATTGATTATTATCTGAGCATGTTGTGTGACCATACATGTTTATGTCCACATACTGCACATGTATGTCACAAGCAGAAGCCAGAGGAGAATGCTGGGTGACCTGCTCTATCACTCTCTACCTTATTCCTTGAGGGTCTTTCACTGACCTTGGAGCGATCTCCAGCAACCTTCTGCATCTGCCCCAGAGTGCTGGGGTTATGGGTACACATGGCTACTTCAGGTTTTTATGTGGGTGCTGGGATCTGAACTCAGGCTTGAGCAGTAAGAGCCGTTACCCACTGAGCCATCTCTCCAGCCCCCCACTCACATGTTTTTCTTTCTTACATTTATTTATTTCGTATGTGTGTGATGGTGGAGGTCAGAGGACAACGTGTGGGAGTCTTCCCCTTCCACCATGTGGGTTCTGGGGATCAGACTCAGCTCATCAGGTCTGACAGCAATGGCTTTAGTGCTGACCCGCCTTGCCAGCCCCTCTATCTACATTTAGTAATTATTATAACAGTGAAGTGAGACACAATTTGGGAGAAGGCACTGTTTTAAAGCAGAGTAGAAATGATCTTTTACTTGAGAAGTCTTGCAGGGACATCATTCACTGAAGTACATGTAATCTCCCTGCTGTTATATATATAGAGGAGAGATGCAAAGTCTTGCAGGTGCCTTCTGTGTTTGGGGAGGAGCAGAAATCACCCCGACTGTGCACTGAGTGATGGAGATGGTGCTGGCTGGAGGGGGAACTCCTACAGGGCTCCTGGCTGTCCAGGGAACAGGAAAGAAGGGAGCCACAGGCGGAGCTGTGCTACACACAACTGAAAACTCCTAGACAGCCAGTTGAGACAAATTTCAAAGGTGCTAGATCCTGGTTAAAATGACAAGATTAGATGAAAAAGTCAGGAAGATTATACAAAAGAGGTGGAGGCAGAGGGGAAGATCCTGGGAAGAGCATCCTGAAGAGTCTGCTAGACAGAGATAGGCAGCTGGAGAAACAAATTCCTCTTCAAAATGAAATCAGAAACCACAGGTGATTACAAGGGAGAGGAAAAAAGGGGCGATTTTAGTTTGTTTGTTCACAAGGTTTCGCTGGGGCTAGAGAGATGGTTCAGCAGTCAGGAGCAGGGATACTCTTCTAGACCGGGGTTCAGTTCCCAGCACCCACCACCATCTCGTCTGTAACTGCAGTCTCAGAGGTTCTGACGTCCTCTTCTGGCCTCCACAGGCACCAGGCATGCACAAGGTGCACACTCACACCTGCAGACAAAGCACTTATACACATAAAGTAAACGTTTTTGAGATGGTTTCTAATGGTTTCAGGTGTTGAGACTCGAGGCTGCCGTCTGGTCTACTTACAATCACAGACTGTTTGACCTGGACGACTCCCACAACATGAAACTTCTTTCCTATCTAATGTCTCTAAGGCTATGGTAAATTATGGGGCTTAGTCCAGGTGATGGGGTCCACAGACACGAGGGAGGCAGGACTAGTGGCTAAGAATTCCAAGCAGATTACTTTTAACCAAATGTCAATTAACATAATAAAAGAAACAGAAAAACCACACTGATCTTTAATCCCTCATTACCAGAGGGCATATCGAAGGGGGTTGGACTTTGAAACACACCTGCCTTTGGTCTTGAGCAGGGCGATCCTGAGTTTACTGAGTCTCTCTCACGCTCCACTTACCTTGGAATGCTGCCGCCACAGCACGTCTGCTCCAGTCTGTCACACTGAGACTGTTTTACTCAACCAATGGTCATTTCTTTCCCTTCTCACTTCAAACTCGACAAATTTCTTGAAGAGGTCTAAGCATTTAATAGATGAATCAAATATAAGCCCTAAAAAGAGGCTTATTTAATTTTACATTATGTGTATGATGTGTGTATGTGTGGGCATATATGCTCAGGAATGCAGACTCCCTCGGAGTCTAGAATAGGGCCTTGGATCCTCTGGAGCTGGAGTTACAGGCAGCTGTGAACCACCTAATGTGGGTGCTGGGAACCAAATGAGTCCTCTGAAAGAGCAAAGGCACTTTTAACTGCTGAGCCATCTCTCCAGCCCCCAGATATAAGCCTCTTAAGAGATTTTCTGAGCTTGAGTAAATGATACAACCAAAAATTAAAGGAAGTTTTGTTGTTAAGATTATTATATATACAGTGTTCTGTTTGCATGTATGCCTGCCTGCCAGAAGAGGGCACCAGATCTCATTACAGATGAGAACTGAATGTGGTTGCTGGGAATTGAACTCAGGACCCCCCCCCCCCTCCGCCCCGAAGATCAGCCAATGCTCTTAACCTCTGAGTCATCTCTCCAGGCCCCCAAAAGAAGTTTTCATAAGTCAATTGGGAAGTTAAAAACAAAATTCTTGTGCTCTCAAATTTTAGCCTACTGAGTATGTTACATAACCAAACGTTCATGAAGGATTATGAACACACAATGAAATCTGGCCCACAGAAACTAAGCCAAATTGAGCCTGAAAGTTGTAACAACAGCCTTTATTCATAGAGGAAAATAATACTGGCTTCTGAAAAAGAGTGTGGCTGAAAACCGAAACCATTTTTTTTTAAGACTACGCACCTTTTACAGGAAAGGTAAATGGCTCCTTTGTTAAATCTGGGCAGTCAACCACGGAAACCTGGACATCAGCAAAGTTGTCCTTCAGCCCCTTCTGCAAAACTAATACAAGACAAGCAAAGGAGGGACTTAGCATTAGGCAAAATTTGGCCACCATATACTAAGTCTTCCTTCAAACTTAGACCACTAAAAAAAAGAGGGATGGGTCAGGGTGGTGGCGCACCACACACCTTTTATCCCAGCACTTGGGAGGCAGAGACAGGTGGATCTCTGGGAGTCCAAGGCCAGCCTGGTCTACAGAGTGAGTTCCCTGGACAGGCAGGGCTATACAAAGAAACTCCGTTATGAGAAACTAAAAAAGAAAAAAAAAAAAAAAAAAAAAAAAAAAAAAAAAAAAAGAGGGATGGACCCAGGACTTCAACACAAAGCAGTCTACCAGTGACCTGTACCACCAACTGAGGAATGGTCTTACTGATGAATAAAATTAGACTTTGACATGATCAGAAGTATAATGTACTCTATGACACATACTTACCATGACCATGGCAACTCCTATAAAGGAAAATATTTAATTGGGGCTGGCTTACAGTTCAGAAGTTTAGTCCATTATCATCATGGCAGGAAGCATGGCAGCATGCAGGCAGGCATGGTGCTGGAGAAGAAGCTGAGAGTTCTGCAAATGAATATGCAGGCACCAGGCAGAGAACTGGCTTGAGCTTCTGAGACCTCAAAGCCCACCCCAATACTGACACACTTCCTCCAGCAAGGCCAAGCATTCAAACACAAATGGGGCCATCCTTGTTCAAACCATCACACATTAAGTGTGGTGCTCACATTCTGCAAGCACTATACTTTATTGTAGGTGCATTATACCATAATACAAATGTAGAAAAACATAGTGTCTTAACATTCCAGAACTTTTTTCTTCAAGAACTTTATTTTATTTTACGTGGTTTTTTAAAACAGAGGTCTCACTATGTAGTCCTGGCTGTCCTGGAACTTATTACATAGACCAGGCTGGCCTCAAACTTAGAGAGAGATCTTCCTGACCCTGTTCAAGAGAATTTTAATAATAACTTATAAAAGTATGTCCAATAACCTGGTATCCCATAGCTCCTTACCAGAGAAGAATGATACTTGTGAAAATCAGAATCTGATACCAATTAAGTGAGTGACAGCTTTGTGTTATGGATGATGATTATTGTTATTATTATTTTGGTTTTTTGAGACAGGGTTTCTCTGTATAGCTTTGGTGCCTTTCCTGGAACTCACTCTGTAGCCCAAGCTGGCCTCGAACTCACAGAGATCCGCCTGCCTCTGCCTCCCAAGTGCTGGGATTAAAGGTGTGTGCCACCACCACCTGGCTTTGGAATATTATTTTAAGATGTGCTACATTTGTTATGCTATGGAACATTTGTTTTAATGATGCAAAGATGTGTTGCATTCTTTCATGTTGCATTTGTTAAACTCTGTGAAGCTGTGTTACTTTGCCTGTCTAAAACACCTGATGGTCTAATAAAGAGCTGAACGGCCAATAGCAAGGCAGGAGAAAGGATAGGCTGGGCTGGCAGGCAGAGAGGATAAACAGAAAGAAGATCTAGGAGCAAGTGGGATGAAGGAGTGAGAAAAGAAAGGGCCAGCCACCCAGGCACAGCCAGACACAGAATAAGAAAGAGAGAAAAGATATACAGAAATAGAGATAGGTAAAAGCCCAGAGGCAAAGGGTAGACAGGACAATTTAAGAAAAGCTGGTCAGAAGTAAACCATGATAAGGCCGGGAACTCATAAGTAAAAATAAGATTCCATGTGTATTTATTTGAGAGCTGGGGGGCAGGCCCCCCAAAAAGAGCAAAGAGCCAAAAGAGTAAAAAAAACAAAAACCAACTACAGCTTTGCCAACAAGAACAGGCTCTTCCATAGCTAGGGAGACTGCTACAGTGCAGATCAATTTAACAGAAATATATGTATTTCGTTTATTTATAGAACATGCACGCCCATGCACGCTAAGGTGCACGTAGAGATTAGGTGACAACTCGTGAAGTTGGTTCTCTTCCTCCACTAGGTTGGTCCCAGGGATGGAAGTCAGGTTGTCGTACTTGTGCTACAAGCATCTTTACCCACTGGGCCATTTCATCAGCCCTGTGAGCAATGTATTTTTAAGGATCAGAAAGATAGTATAGGAAAGCAATGTAAAAAAAGCAAAAAGCAGGTACATGTTTGAGTCTCAGTCTCTTCAAGAACAGTTAACTACCAGGTAGCACACTGTGAGAAGTACAGGACCGTTACAGAGACCGGAGTTCCACAGAATGGAACCTAACCACATCAAGGACAGGGCAGATCCTGAGACATCAAAGGTTTGAATGCATACCTTCTAGGCTTCATTTTGTGTATTCAATCATCTTTTTCCTTCTCTGGTTTAGATTGGGGGAACTTCCTTAAATTCTTGTTTGAACAAGGTAAACAAAACACAAGAAATATCCACAGACAAATTTGAGTAAGTGAATTGACAATCTGTGAATAAGGAGGCAGGCAAAGTATATTTGGGACTATGAGCAATACTATGAGCAAAAATAGTAGATTATCTATCTATCTATCTATCTATTTGTAATGTGTGAGTGTTTTGCCTGCATGTATGTCTGTGCACCGTCTGGGGCTGAAGGTCAGCAGAGGGCACTGAATCCCCTAGAACTGACAATTACAGACAATTGTGAGCTATGGGAGTTCTGGAAATGGAACTCAAGTCACTTGAGTTCAGCCAGTGCTCTTAACCACTGACCCATCTCTCCAGCTCCAGCAAACTATATATTTAAAGAATACTGTTATTGTTAAGATTGCACAACTCTCTGCTAGTTTTCATTGCACAACAAGATCACTATAAATGAGATATGATGGTTACTTCTAGGACAAATAAGCAGAGAAGGAACCACCACAAGGGTTGGGAACAAAAGGAATTTTGAATTTATCTATAATCATCTTTCAAAAAATTTAAAACTGTGAATATGTGTCAGTATGTAGAGAGGACCAGCTTTTAAGGTATGTGCAGTTTTACGTGATGCTAAGGATCTTGAAGTTAAACAACTTCTATAAGATGGACTAATAAGTGAAAATGCTTATAACATAGCATAAAAACTTATAAAAGTTGCTTTCTTTTATTTTTTGAGAGATAGAATTTTGGATTTTTTAAATTTAAAAATAATACTGAACAGATACTGAAACAGAAATTTCTGAATCAAAAGTACCATTTCAATAAGATACAGATAGGTAATTAGCTACATATGTATCTCAGGGATCTTGTGGTTTTGTTTCCTGGGACAGTCCTTCAAATCCCAAGGCTGACATCATTTTTACCTTCAGCAAGCTCCTCCAGACTTGGCACATGAAAAGAAAACTCAACACAAGCCATTTTCTTCTTCTCAGCGAGGTTGCTCAAACACAGCAGCTGTTGGCGACAATCACGGGAGTTCACAGGGCACCAGCACCCACAGTCCCCGGGGTTCTGGAAATGAGGACCAGAGTTCAGTCACTCGATGAAGGCAAAGGCCATCGAGGTTCCACATCCTCAGAGCTCACTTATGTAAGGGGGCAAAGTGCCCCAAACACAGCGCCATGTCCACTCCATGTGCGCAGGAGGAGAGGGACCTCTCCCCACTCCTCCTTCCCTCGTCTCCCTTTCAGTCCTTTTTCTGTTTTCTTCCCTCCCTCCCTCCCTCCCTCCCTCCCCCTTCTCCTCCCCCCCTTTCTGGCAGTGTTGTATGTAGAACCCAGGGCCTCAGCTGAGTGCTATGTCCCAGCCCAATACTGTATTTGAACCTGTTCTTCTTTGTTTCTGTGTTCAGTTCTGAGATGGAGCCAGGGCCTCGGGCATGCCAGGAAAGCACTGTACTGTACTCAGCTTGAACCCGGGCTTTTCTAACAGAGGGTCTAAGAATGTGGTCTGGAAACAAAAGATAGGTACTAAGGATCACAAACAAGTGGTTGAACTCTGTGTGTTCATGTGTGTAGGTATGCACATTTACAAGATTCTATACTGTTTTACCTATATAGAAAACATACGATAGATCACTCTTTTCTACTCTCTATTTGACATTTAAACTAAAAGTTAATTGTCTTAGCCCTAATAAGTTCTTTTTAATATTGCATTTATTTATGTGTGTGTGTGTGTGTGCACTCGCATCACAGCACACCTGTGGAGCTCACAGGACAACTTACAGGAGTTGGTTCTCTCTCCACCGTGTGGATGTTGGGGACTGGACTCAGACAGTCAGTCTTGATGGTAAGTACCTTTACCCACCATGCCATCTTGCTGGCCTGACTACCCTTATTATTATTTCTCAATGGAGAACAAATTTGACTCTAAAAGTGGATCTCAGTAACAACAAAATACCAAAAGCTGCATTTTAATAGAAAAACAGGACACCAGGAGTTTGTTTTATTTCTTCCCTGAAGCTACAAAATTATATTATAGGATATGTTGTAAAATTTCATTTGTTTACATTCAAATCATTCCTCTTATCTATCATTTTAATAAGAGACAATTTTAGTTACCATTTGAAATGGAAACCTATGGAATGAATAGATTCTGAAAGTCAAATTTTTACTTTAATTTATAAATAAACATACTTACTTGGTAAATACTTTTAATATTAAATTAATCTAATAACCTAACCAATTATAATCTTATGTTTCTCAAAAATGCACAGCAAGAGCACTTTACAGAAAATGGACACAAATATGCAAAGACCAGTGTGTGTGCACACACACACACTCACATACACACACACACAGGGAAATGGACACAGAGACACAGACACAGACACACACACACACACACCCCATTCAGGAGGTGAGGCTGACAAGCGGAGTGAGATGACCAGAGCTATTCAGGGAAAGAAAAGGAGGGGTGGGGAGATGATGGCAAGGCCAGTCACAGCCTAGGACAGTCAAATCACTAAGGGCATTTAGCCTCTCAGAGCACCACGGGAGCAGTCTTTAATATTGTTAATGGAACACTTCTTTAATCCAAACTGTGGGGTTTAAAAGTGCCCAAGCAGCAAGAAAAAAGTGGGTCCCTCAGATCTCTTGTGGGTTTCTTTCGTTTTTTGTTTTGAGGCAGGGTATCCACACCCTGTCTGCATAATGGAACGCCTCCTCCAACTCACAGAGCTCCTCCTGCCTGCCTCTGTGTTTCCAGTGCTAGGATTAAAAGCGAATTCATACCTGGTTTAAAAGGGAAGCTTTGACCTGTGTGCTGGGAATGGAACTCAGTCCTGTTGGAAAGCGGTACACACTTTTAACTGTGGAGCCGTTTCTCTAGCCTAGAATCTCTGGAAATATTTTTCAGGTTCATGGGTTTCTTAGGCACAGGAGTTTTAAAAATGATTTCATTAAAATATTTATTTATTTGTGTGTACATGTGTGTGCATATATGCCACAGCACACACGTGGAGGTCAGAGGACAACTTGCAGAAGTCAGTTTTCTTTTTCCACTGTATGGGTTCCAGGGATCAAACTCAGGTTATCAGGTTTGGCGAAAAATGCTTTTAACTCCTAAGCTATCTTGCTGACTTGCAATTTCTTTTTTTTTTTTTTTCCCCGAGACAGGGTTTCTCTGTGTAGCTTTGTGCCTTTCCTGGATCTTGCTCTGTAGACCAGGCTGGCCTTGAACTCACAAAGATCCGCCTGCCTCTGCCTCCCAAGTGCTGGGTACAATTTCTATTTTTGACTACACTTTCAGAACATATATTGTCCATGAACATGCCATTGCACATATTTAGCGCCTGACATTTATAGTTTTCTTTTAAGACATAGGATCCCTACATTACCCTTGCAAATCATCCTCCTGCCTCAGTCTCCAAAGTAGCTTAGATAGGTGACATTTACTTGAGTACCTACGAACATCAGGTTTTATTGCCCTTTAGTTATTTAACACATTTACTCGTGTTTTTCAAATGAAGCCAAGTAACAATTGAAAATGGGCCCCAACTGGTATAATCGCACTTGAATTACTCTAAACATACTTTTCAGTGGAGTGATCTTTGTTTCGAACTCAAACATCGTACTTTTCTTTTGAAATACTTTAAGATTGGTACATCATATACAAATAGCTCTCACACTTTCCTTACCCGGATGTTCCACGTAACCTATCACAGTCTGTGTCAGGTAACTAGCAGATACTTCCTAATGTAAGAACACACCAAAGTTTGCACGACGAACAGCATATTCATTCACTGTTTATTATTTTTATTTTCTTTTTGGCCCAAGCTAGTCTGGAACAGTGCTCCTCCTGTTTGAACCTCTTGGGTGCTGAGATTTTATGTGTGCCTCCAAACTTGGCCTTAATATAATTCAGTATATATGGAGAAAAATGAAAGCATTTTCAATAATTATGCTCACAGGAGGAATAAGAATTCAAATTAGAGTCAAAGATATCCCTTAGAAATGTAGAGTTCTTGCAGGCTGACAGCAGGGGAGAACATGTGACAGAGTGTGTGTGGAGGGTGGGGTTGGAGTTACGACACACAGAGTGTGTGTGGAGTTTAGTGTCCACTAAAGCCAGAGAGGCTCCAGAACAGCCTCTAGCCAGATGAAGGCAAATACTTACTCTCCTGACCGAAGTGGGGGTGTCGGTGCCTCAGAGACAGGCAGAGAAGGGCGAACAGGCAGGAAGCTAACAACAGAGAGAGAGAGAGAGAGAGAGAGAGAGAGAGAGAGAGAGAGGGCAATGGGCCAACTGTGGCCACCAAGTTGAGCGCCATGATTGAAGGTGTAAGTCACAAACTGTCACACCCTTTAAAGTCTCTCAAAATTCTCAAGTCCATGACAGACTTGCGTTACACTTCTCATTGCACAGGAGAGGGAACAGGTCAGGAAGGACATAGGATTTACCCAAGAATTCAAAAGCAGATCCACACCAGGCATGGTGGTGCACATGTTTAGTTCCAGCAGAGGCAGAGGCAGGGGCGTCTGGTCTCACAGCTGTGCAAGTTGTACAGTCAGTCACACAGGACCCCATATTCATATAGATCTGCATGTATCAAACCACACATACAGTTGTGTGTGTGTGTGTGTGTGTGTGTGTGGTGCCAGGCACTGAACTTGGGGCTATGCTTGCTCGGCAAGCTCCCTGTAATTGAGCTGTATCTCCAGGCCAACAACTTTACATCTGAACTGTGTTTGCAAACTCACAGGACAGTGAAACATGAGCAGGGCCAAGGCATGTCCTTCATCACATATGGAATAAGCTGGGGGGTTGTTTTGTTTTTTCGAGACAGTGCTTCTCTGTGTAACCCTTGCTGTCCTGTCTGTGGACCAGGGCTGGCCTCGACTCAAAGACTGGCCTGCCTCTGCCTCTCGAGTGCTGGGAATAAAGGTGTGTGCCGCCGCCACCTGGCCTAATAAGGTGTTTGTAATGTCCCATTAGAACTTAATCCCGGTCGAGTTGCCATGTCTAGCATAGTAGGTGCTGCAGAATTCCAGGTTACAGGCAAAACGTGCAAGGATCAGGAAGTAAAAGGAAGGTGAGTGTGTTTTGTACGTGGTTCCACAGCTACAGTAACAAATACGTAACTTGTACAAGTTATGAGGCAGAAATCCAAACTGCAGTGATTCTGTAACAGGGCCCTATGACCTTAGCAGGCCCTCAGACCTGAGGACAACTGACTCGGTGATGGAAGTGCCATTCAGGCTGTAAAAGTCGGCACGTGGACAGCACCACCAGCCCAAACAAAAAGGCCGAATCCACCACAGTCCGCAGTTCTGGGACAGTCTCAAATGCACTGACCTTGCTTTTTAGCTCTATAGTTCTGCTTCTGGCTAACTGTCCACTTTAACTGAAGTGTGTCATCCAGAGTATGATTTCTGTGCTTAAAAGCTGACCCTGAGAAAGGCTCGGTGCTACACTGGGGTCCAGAGCACCCAGCTCGTAAAGACTGTCTGTTGCCTTAAACCCGTGTCTGAACTGTGCTCTGCTGACCACGCCACAACAATTCCACTCTTTACGTTCTTTTCTTTTTTCTTATTTGGTTTTTCAAGACAGGGTTTCTCTGTGTAGCCCTGGCTGTCCTGGAATTTGATCCATAGCCCAGGCTGGCCTCGATTCATACAGATCTGCAAGCCTCAGCCTCCCAAGTGCTGGGATTAAAGGCGTCTGCCGCTTCCCCATCCCCTGCGCATTAAGCTCTTACGCACTGGCAGTACCAACATAACGAAAGATGATAAAACTTGCGCTAGTAATTCTAATTTTTCTTTACATAGGGCGGAAAAATGTGTTTTTGAGTCAGGGTCTCACCATGTAGTCTAGGCTGGCCTGGCAACCCTCCTTCCTCAGACTTCCAGGGTCTAGGATTTGCCACAGTGCCCAGCTATCTGTCTCTCTCATTTTGAACAAGACCCTGTATTTTGACTTTGCCCCCTGTCCTTTCACGGCACACGGGCTCTGAATGTGACAGCTCGAGATACCTGTCTGGGAGCTCACAGTGACTGCACTGCACTCCCAAGTAGAGCAAGACCTTACTTTTTTTTTTTTTTTTTTTCTTTTTTTCGAGACAGGGTTTCTCTGTGTAGCTTTGCGCCTTTCCTGGAGCTCACTTGGTAGCCCAGGCTGGCCTCGAACTCACAGAGATCCGCCTGGCTCTGCCTCCCGAGTGCTGGGATTAAAGGCGTGCGCCACCACCGCCCGGCTAAGACCTTACTTTTAAGGCGAGTCCAATCGTAAAATGATAATAAGCGCTGACTAAGGGCAAGCAGCTCTGGGCTTGTCACACAATACAGAGGTGCAGCATGGACAGCAGCTCTGGGCTTGTCACACAACACAGAGGTGCAGCATGGACGGCAGCTCTGGGCTTGTCACACAACACAGAGGTGCAGCATGGACGGCAGCTCTGGGCTTGTCACACAACACAGAGGTGCAGCATGGAAAATAACTCAAACCAGCTGAGCATTGAAAAGAAAGTACTGTAAGGGTTAAAAGCAACCCCAGCTAAACTGGTTTACGCTGTTGAGTCAGCTCAGGATCTGAAGGAGGCAGCTCATGCCTGCTGGGAGCTAACTCCTGGATGGTGGGGTGCCCACAACACCGGCACCCTTCGTCTGAGGAGGAACTCGGCACACTGTAGGCTCGACCCCCCAACATACGGACGCTCACCTGACGCGCAGTGCCTTCGCGCTTGCAGGAATGCCTTCTTTCCACTCAGGAGCACAGGTTCAAGGTCCTGCCTATCTCTTCCACCAGCTCAAGGCCTAGGGACGAGCCGGGAACCGCCCCTCCCGGGGCCCGCCCACCTCAAAGTCCACCCACACAGCCACGCCCACCCACGTGGCCGCGCTCTCGCACCCACCCGCCGCTAAGAACTCACGCGAGATTTCGGCCTGTTTAGTCCCGCTGCATTGGGCAGGAACGTTCTTTTCGGCGCGGTGGAGGAGGAAGACGGCCGTTCCTGCATTGGGCTCCCGGGTGTGGAGCGACCGAAGAGTGGGGGCCTTGGGGTCCGCGGGCCAGGGCTCTTTGGGCGGCTCTCCGCACGGAGTCGGCGCAGTTGTCGAGTGAGGCGCAACGGGCCGTGCTCCGGGGCCTCGCGGGCCGTGTTCCGGGCCTCGCGGGCCGCGCGTGGTTCCCGGTCGCTGTCGGGAGATGACAAGGTGTATGCGGCTAGGAAGGGTTTTTTTTTTTTAGTGTCCTGTGCTGCCTGCCTACATCTCTTGAGGGCTTAGAAGATCTCGTCGGTCGGCCCACGGCATATATTCGCACCGGTTTTTCGGCAGTCACCACGTGGCTTCCACACTTGCAGTTTCAGAATTTGAAAGCACCATACAGGTAGGATTGATTTCTAGATAGGTAGCTGTACTGTAGTTTGCAATTACCTTTGAATTTCCACACATACATATCGTTGGTGCAAACAGGCCAAGTATGGTACATTTGAGTTCTGATGAGCTAATATTAAAAAAATTCATATAGTGGGTATTTCACAATCTAAAGTCTTAGTCAACTGGCTTTCTTGTCCTTGAAGGTTATGATTAATATGATTAGTTTAGTTCTAGGATTTGTGTAGCCAAGGATAACGTTGAAGTTTTTATCCCTTTTGTATGTGTGGGTGTTTTGCCTGCCTGTTAAGTCTGCACCACGTGCGTGCGCTGCCCAGGACTGGTTACAGCCCCTCCCCTTTCGGTTTTCGGAGATGGGATTTCTCTGTAACAGTCCTGGCTGTACTAGCTTCTACTTTGTAGATCGCTGGTTTCTGAGATCTGCCTGCCTCTGCCTCCTTAGAACTGGGATTAAAGGCGTGCACCACCAGTTACAGCCCTTTTTAAGCTGCCATGTTGGTGCTGGGAATCCAATTTTTGTGCCCTTGAAGAGCAGCCAGTACTCCTTTTTTTGTTTGTTTTTCGAGACAGCCCAGGTTATCCTGGAATTCACTCTGTAGACGAGGCTGGCCTCGAACTCAGATCCGCCTGCCTCTGCCTCCTGAATGCTGGGATTAAAGGCGTGCACCACTGCCCTGCTCAGCCAGTACTCTTAATGCTAAGCCATTTCTCCAGCCTCACCCTAGAGACTATTGTACCCTCTTCCCTGATTCTTGGGATTACAGTGATTTTGAACAGTAATTGTGAGCCACTATCTCTGTGTACTTCAACTGCCCGAACTGATGATGACGCTCTTGTTTCAGCCTTGCAAGGGTTCGCCTTGAAATTAGTAATGCTGAAGTACTGTGTGGCTGGCTGCTGGTAGAGCCACCCAGGTGCTCTTGTTAGGTATACTTAGAAAAAACAAACTGCATTGGAATGTGGTTTCTTTGCTTTCACTTGTAGATAAAAATACTGTGAATGTATGCCACATATGTGGGGGTATCCAGGAGGCCAAAAAAGCATGGACCTGGAATTAAAGTTGTGAGCCACCCAAAGTGAGTGCTGGGAACTCAATCTGGAAAGTTACTCTTAACTGCTGAGCTTCTCACTTGATGTAAAGTGGACTATCCTTAGATCAATTAATTTTACCTAAATTCATGTGGTGGTATGGTGTATGTTGAGATTCTCGGTTGAATGCTGGGTGTCCTGGAATGTGCATCAATCACACTGAAATTTGTAGTCGCAGAAAACTGGATAAGGCAGAGAGCAAGTGATGGCCCAACCAGGAGTGAATTCTGTTGACTGCATGACATCTGATAGAGCTGGGGACATTGGAAACCAAAGGTAAGGCACCTTTTTGTGTGTGAACATCTAGATTCAGTCTATTCACATGTTCCTTTCTTTTTTTTTAAATTAAAGGTCTCAGGTGGCCATGGGTGGTTTCATTCAGATAATCCTGCCTCTGCCTCCTAAGAGCTGGGATTAAAGGCATATTACACACTCTGCAAACTACTGCAGATAACTCCCCAACCTGAATATGTAAAAATGGGACATAGTCTTACATTAGGAAAACATATACGTTTTCCCAAATTGGCCTATTTTTGTCTAGTAGGTAGGTAGTGGAAGGGTTAGAAAAGTTAAGCAGATGATTTGGAGCTTCTTTCTCATGGAAGATAAAATTGAATATTTTAAATAGCTGTGTGTTTTAGATATGATGGCCAGGACATGGTGGCCTGGTGTGTCACACTAACTGGTACTTACTCCATTCTAAAGTGTTGGGTATGATGGGGGAGGGTTGGCTTTGGAAGAAAGGCACATTTGAATTTTTAACATTTTCTCTGATTTGTCCGATGTGTGAGTGCTTTGCTGCAGTATCATGTGTTCTTTGAAGAGGGTGTGTGTGGAGCTCCAGGAAATGGGAGTTAGTAATGATTGTGAGCTGCCTTGCCACTCAGGAATGAGAATTGTTTTTAGTGATAATTCAGTAATGCAGTTTATTTATTTGTTTTTTTAGTGATGACTCATCTGATAGCTTATTTAAAACACAGTATGTTCCTTCACCTACACAAAGACTAAGAAATCCTACAAAATGTGTGATTTCACCTGCAAGGGTTGAAACTGACTCATCAAGTGACTCCTCTCTGGAACCAAAGCCTCTGACTTTGAAGGCTATTTTCGAAAGATTTAAGAAAAGGAAACGGAAAAAGAGAAAGTATAAGCCAAAATTAAGACCAAGAGGAAGACCACCTGGAATAAAAAATGCTAGAAATCCTAGAAGGTCACAGATAGATATCAAACAAATTAAAGACAAAGGAGCTGTGTTTCCATTCTTAGAATCTGAAAATGGAAGAAAACCTTTACCTTGGAAGAAAATTTTAACATACGAGGTGAGTCATTCTCATGTAGACATACACTAGGTAAAAATGGAATGTTTGTGTGCCCCCGCCCCCTCCTTTTTCAAGACCAGGTTGCTCTGTAATAGCTCTGGCTGTTCTAGAATTTTGTAGATCAGGCTGGCCTTGAACTCATAGAAATCTGCCTCCCAAGTTCTGGGATTAAAAGTGTGGGTGTTGGCCATTCTTAGTTGAGGTACACCTGGAACACTGTTGCTTTGACAAACAATGGCCTCTATGTGAAGTGTGCTCCAGTCTTCAAGTGTTTCTGAGTGAAATCTGCAAAAATTTAGAGAATAAGGCTCCAAGATTGTATTATGCAGAAAATTCCTTCATTGTACTGTCTAAACTACTCTCAAGCATACAATACTCAAGGTACCTTTTCAGTAGCCCAAGTCAAACCTGTCATTTCAAAGTAAGGTTATCATTTCTTAAAGCCCATTTTTAGAAGTATCCAGAAAGGGCTGTAGAATAGGAATGTGAAAGATGCTGCTTTCTAGCTGGTCATGTGCATTGTTAACCTAGGAGCCCTTGCCCAAGGAATGGTACCACCTACAATCTAGGCAATCTCTACACAATAATAGTAGCAGTTGAGTATCCCTTCTCAGGTGATTCTGAGCAATGTCAAATTGAGATAACTAGGACAAGGGCTGTAGAGATACATATATGGCTGTTCTTCCAGAGTAGCCAGGTTCAGTGTCCAGTATCCTACATGGTCTCTCACATCTATAACCTCAGGGATGCTCTCTTCTGGTCTCTGAGGGCACCAGGCATGTAGAAGTACATTGATATACAGGCAATCAAAACACCCATACACATGAAATCAGGAATATTCAAGTACCCAGGTATTAATTAGGGTTTTCAAATATTTGAGCATTAAATTTTACAAAAATACAAATGATCCTTATTTGGAATTTGTAATCAGAAAGGATTAATGTAGTCATTCTTTTCATGTGTGTGCATGTGCAAACCTAGCAGAAGTTGCTAATTTAGGTTGTCTTCCTATTCAGCTTGTTCTTGGGGTACTGTCTTGACCTTCCAAGACTGGAATTAGTTACAGTAGAACCACTGTGTACACTCAGCATTCACATGGTTTCTGTGCTTCCAAATCTGGTCTTGATGTATAGTGAGCCATCGCCCAGCTCCTTATAGAATTTCAAGCTTGATTATCATTAATTGATGTTCTAAGATTTAAGGAATTGTGTATCTAACTTGTAGCAAGCTGTTGCAAGAGGATTTTTTCACCACATTGAAAAACTGAAGTATGAGCAACACCTTAAGGAATGCTTGGAGCAAATGCATGCTGGGGAGGATTTAGAAAAGGAAGACCTTGACAGCCGGAGACACAAGTACATGGATGATGATGGTCCTCTTTCTCCTATTGAAGAGCCTTTGTAAGTTGGACCTTGAAGAGTTATTTGTTCCTGGGTTTGTGTGTGTGTTTTAAAGTTAACTTAAATATCTATTACTCCACATTTAACTAGTTTTGAGACAGTCTCACAACTTTGTGGCTTTGGCCTACACTCAGATTTATCTACCTCTATCTCCTAAGTGTTAGGATTAAAGGCACGTATGCAGTGATAATGCTTAAACATGTAATTGTAGCACTTGTAGGATTGTTTATTGGGTATATGCAGAGGACATTAGTTTGGAGAGTTACAGGCAGGATGTTAATGCTTTCTTTAGAGCATAGATTTCAGTAGTGTTAGAATATAAAGAGGTAAGGTTTGTGACAGTTATTTACTTTATGTTACAGAACAGAAGATGAGGCAACAAATCCTGAGTCTGGATGTGATATCAGATTGGTTGTAAGTGGCTGATTTTCAATGTTTATGGAATGTAGAAGTTGTATACAGTGGTTTCTATTAAAATTCTATTTAAACTTAATGTAGGAAACAAGAATGAAAATACTCTAGAATATTTGATAATGAGCTTTTTTTTTTTTTTTTTTTTTTTTTTTTTTTTTTTTCTTTTTGCGGCTCTTCTGCTTATCCCAGGATTCAAAGCTCAGGACCTTGTCATGCATTCACATTATGATAAGGCATCCTACTGCTCGCTGAGCTCTAGCCCCAGGTTTGAATATTTGTATGTAGGTATAGGTATGGGTATATATGTGTGGAGGCCAGAAGTCAGTGCCACTTCTCCATTTTATCACAGATACCAATGAACCCCGAGACCATAGACCAGTGGATTAATCTGCTGGCACTGTGTTTGTTCCCTGCTACAGGCTTATGCATGGCTCCATTCTTAAGATTTTTGTTTAATTTTCAGTATTATGTATGTAGGTGTTGATGCCTGCAGGCATATCTATACCACGTGCATGCCTGATACCTGGGAATGATGGAATTGGGTGTAGGACCCTTGGAGCTAGAGTAATATACATGTGGGTGCTTGGATTTGAATCTTAGTCCTCCATAAGGAAGAGAGGCCAGTGTTCATAACCACTGAGTGATCTTTCCACCTCCCATTAAAATACTTTGTAATGAATATTTAGTTAGTCTTGTGATATGAAGGCTGTCACCTGAGAAAATAGTGTAGGTGTTTATTTGGACTTTGAGGAATAGATGTAGCACTCACCCACTTGTCAGTGGTAAACTTAGTTACTAACCGATTTTTCTATTAAATGCAGGAAGACAGTTGCTTCATAATAAGCTCAGAATTTCCAAAGAAAAATTTAGAGCAAGAAAAGAGTAAGAAAGAGTCTGCATTCTCTAAAAAAGCTAAGGCCAACGAAACTGCACAGAGAGAACATGGAAGGGCCTGGAAAGGAGATGTACATACAAGTATCAAAGAAGGTAAAGAGGAGTTGGAAAAAAGAAACAATAGGAAGACATGACTACAAGTGATTTTTGTATGCCAACTAGATGAAGAAACAAAACGTGAGCCAGCCTGAGAAAGAAGCCACAAATTACTGGGGAAAGCCATTATTTACTAATTTCAAGTGTGATTCTGATGCTGGAAGAAAAGTGCTAATATAAAGACCCGATTTCAGCCTCTGTGAGGGTTTAGCCATAGTGTATTTGTGTACGCTATGCATCCTGGTACCCAAGGTCAGAAGGTATCAAGGCGCTTGGAACTGGACTTAAAAGATGGTTGTTCACCAGCCATCTCATGGGTAATGAGAGCCAAATCATGATCTGAGTCACCTTTTCACACCCCTTCTCAAACACAGCTTCAGGATGCTACAACCTGTGTGCCAGCTTCTGGCTAGGTGTGTAACTCTTGAGTGGAATAAGAGCGTGTCTTCCCCTAGGATGCGTTGAATATTGCCATTGTTGGTATTGCGGTCAGTTGGAAGCTGGCTTTTGTGTCCGATTTCTGTGGCCTTGTTTGGCAGCACTTGAGTATGGTTTTGTTCAGCTGGTGGACAAAGGCAGGCTAGACAGGTGCAACAGTAAATCCTCTTTTGCAACCCAGAACTCATTGTTCAGTATGAGTTTTGATACATACAAGAAGGAATATAGGACACCACAAAGGGATTATGGTACTAATGAGGTTGGTTCTAGCTGTCCTATAATTTAAAGGCATAAGTAACAGTAAAAAAAAAGCCCAATGTGACAATATTTCTTTTTTTTTAAAGGCTTGTCTTGATTATGAAGGCAGAATTGAAGATACCTGCGAATGGATGTTTGTTTCAGTGTGGTAAGTAGCATACTGTCAATTTATATCTTCATTATATTTGTGAATGCCAGTTTTATTCTGTGAAAATCTTAGAGTGCTCTAGCTTTCAAGAAATCCTTGAGCATGTTCAACTGTATATATTTAGAAAGTAATTTGAAATGTTTACGATAGTGCAAGAATAAGCACTGAAGGCTATAAGGTCTCATACTCAAGTTAAAACATTACCCTATAAACTTTCTGAAACATTGTATAATTACAGCAGAAATTTGTACAATCTTGAGTACATATAATTTTCAAAAGTGTCAATACTGTGCTTAAAAAAAAGTCAGACTATACCCTTTTAGCCTCTTGAAGAAAATTTACTTTGTACTGGTGCTTAAAACAGCTTGGTAAAGAATCCATACCATGTGCTGAGTATTTGAGGACCTGGCCCTATAAGAATGAGCTTCACTAGGCAAGTGTTCTGAGATGACTTTTTTGTGATTTCCTAAAGGTCCTATTTGTAGATAGATGTTCATACAGAAGTTGGCATCACAATGCTTTCCTTTTGAGGTCTATCCCGATGGGGCTTCCCTAATAGCCACACATCGTTGGAAACGCCTCATATAGTAACTTGTGGTTTGCTTGATTCACAGGACTGCTTATTAGGTCTGTGGAAAGGAGGAACTACAAGACATTTAAAAGTATGAAACACTAATATTTCATTCAGGTTTTTTTTTAACTTCAGGTACTGGCATATCCTTCAAAAATTATTAAGAGTGTTAGGTAAGTTTGGCACTGTATCTTGGGAAAACATAGTTACAGTTCATATGATGAATTAAAATTGTTCAACTGCTGAATGATACAGACATGAACTAAAACTTAATTCTGATAGAACTGGCTACAGCTATTAAGTCTGGACAGTGAACTTAAGACTAGTTTTTATAACTGGGAATTCTATCCTTTTTTTTTTAAAGACTTATGTACTATTCTCTAGGAATGAATATTAGCAGAACTCTTCAAACATGTTGGTAAGTGAAACTAAATTTCTGTTGGTTTTTAGTTTCAGTGTCTCATGCTTTAGGTGTTACATGGTATAGTTCCCAACAAAAGCAGTGGCTGTGTATAGACTCGAAAAAAACCTTTCTTTGTGCTCTCATGTCAAAGTGCCTAGAAATGCTCAATCAATAGGAATATTGAGTTCTTAAACACACCACATACAGTGAGTGTACTTGTCCCACTCCCACTCCTGCATTTTTAGGAGTTAGGAGCCTGAAGGCAGCAGGATCCAAGTTAGAGGCCAGCCTGGGAAACTATTGGAAACATGCCTCAGAAAATAAAGTTCTTGCTGGCTAGATGGCTAACAGATAAAGTAATTGGTCCCAATAATTGGTTCAGAACCCTAGAAGCTGGGCCGGTATGAGAGCCAAATCTGGGAACTCTGGCTTCAGTGAGAAACCCTCAGAAAATAGATGATCAGGGAGGGTACCCAACAGCGTGTGCATATGTCTGTGTTCCCAAAGAAAAAAATCAGGCAAGTTAAAGTTTGATTTGAGCATTTTTCCAGTGTGGGTGGGAATGAAGAATCAGATGGAATTCTGAATCACCTGCATAAATGTTAACAGCCCCCTTAATATATGGAACATTGGTTATTCAGAAGAGACCATACCATTAGTGTCTTCATTAGGAGCATGAAGCTGTGGGTTTTAGGAATTGGCACTGCATGGTATCTGCACTCAGCAGTTCTTTCCTGCTGGCGTGTTCAAAAGACAGTGCAATAGAAATTCACTATCTGGCATCGTTGGTTTCTTGGCTTTGTGCATGTTAAACCTGGTATTTCTAATGATACAGTTATTTTATACTGGATATATTTATGGTGGCTATGGGTACCCTGTCGGTTTGGAGAATAGCTGGTATATGCTCGGTGGGCAAGCACTGTCACTTGCTGAATGAATCGCTCTTCTTCCTAGGGTGTCAACAAGTGAGAGGCCTACATTAAAATGGTAATGCATTGTTTCTGTTTGCTTCTAGCTGGTTTTACTTGATGAATAATGTGTGAGACTTTCACTGAGCCTCATTCTACATAAGAATGGGCACTGTCAGTCAGTGTCCAGAACTGGTTAATGTGGCTAAATTGAGGCACAGGTCATGCTTCCATCACAGTAGATCTATTACAGTGGTGACAATGAGACCTGTAACATTTTGCCTCTTATGTGAAGACAAGATAATGATTCATTTCACAACACTTACTCAATGATCATCAATCCTTTAGGTTTCTAAAGTCGTTTGAAGTCGTCACCAGAAATCTTCTGGTAAGATGTTAACTTTATGTACACCATTGTAGTTAGATGATAAGGTACTGGAATTTGCTGTCAGAGACATGATGTTGTGATGATGGGCGAAAATGTTCAACTGCTCTGAATGGGCTGAGTGAAATTAGCCTTTCTGAACATCTACTTTTGGTGGGTCTCCAGATACCATATATGTAGACAAGGATATAGACCCAAAGGATTGATTTTATTTGATCTTGGGAAGTCTATTCCCTTAATCATGAGGATCTTGGAAGTCCTGCCTTAATTTCTCCAGGGCAGTTTTTAACACTTAGCCATTTTTGGGCAGTGGATTTTAGGAAACTTAAACATTGGTAATGTTTACAACCATGTGAATTTAAAACATTTTTCCACAGGTAGAAATCCTTGAATTTCTCATGAAAAGAAAAAAAAAATAAAGGCAAGTAGTCATTCTAATGTCATTTTTATATAATGGTCATTACCAAGGCTTTGAGAAATTCAGTTTCTCATTTGCTGTGGACATGACCATAAAAAAATTCCCATTAGGTTTTCTATGTGCTACTTGGCTGGCAGTTAACCTGTTGGGGACATTTTTCTTCTGATGTGTAAATCGTAGATGGCCCTAGAATGCTCAGCTGCTTACTCTTCCCATGTTCTTGTTTGTCCTGCAGGGCTGATAATAAGTAACACTGGACTGAGCATCCTTGGAAAGGAAAGGTATGTATACAAGAAAGACAGTGAAGGTCATTTCAAAGAGGGCTTGTTGGACTGTGAAACCAAAAGCTCTTAACGCTGTGACCAGAGATTGATGTTCTCCACAGAACAAAACAAGCACTCAATAGTGCTGTGTTTTTCTGAGAAGATACATGCATTTCCTTGAGTCAGAAGTTTTAAGAGTTTAACTTTAGTTTGTTAACTCTCTCTTCAGAAATCCTGAACCCATGTGACCTGAATGAAGAGCAGCATAGAATAAATATTTATTTATTTAATAAAAATTTATTTGCAATAAATAATTTTGTCTGTTTTTTTTATACATTAAACTAAAAGAACCTTTTACACAGTTACTAAAAGAAAACCCTTTACACAGTTTGTAGGAAGTCAGCATGTATTTTTGGCTCGAAGTTTCTCTAATGTTTTCTGCAGAAGGAATGAAAATTAAATTTAGCTGTTTTGTTTGAGTTAGCACCTTTGAGGGTAAAAACTGGCTCCTGCTCACCTTATGAAATTCTTTTGCCCTTGCTTTATTTTGGGCACGGACTTCTTCTTGCTTTGCTTTTTCTTCTCTTTGCTGTCTTACCTCAGCTAACTGCCTGTATAATCTGGAAGAAATGTGCATGGAATTAAATGGCATTAATGGCCAAACACTAAAAGCAAACGAACAACAAAACCCATACCTTAGTGCCCTTTGGTGAGTGAGGGCTTGTCTGGCCTTCCTCTCTTCAGGGAGAGGTGCTCGAACTTTGTTCACACCCTTCAGGCGGTTCAGGGATGAACCTGAGATCAAGAGATTGATTAAAGGGTTGGTTCTAGGTCACATAAACATTCCCAATACCTGTTGCCAGAGTCATGCATACCTGTTTGAGGGAGTTGAGTCTTACTCCGCATTTCTCTTTGTTTTTGGTAGGATTGCCCCGTACATGTGTTTTTCCTTTTCATTGATGTGGCTGTAAATTAAAAAAAAATTTTTTTTAAACAAATATCCTTGACTTAAACATATTAGGGGCTGATATACTAGATACTACACTTACCTGAAAGTGTCACTTGGGGTTGATTTACACAAGGCTCTGATACGGCTCCATAATCAGAGGTTTCTGTTGGAGATGGAGTCAGAAATGCACCTTCCTAAATTTTGAGAAAGTTTTACTGTGGCACTTAGGCTTTTCCTTGTATATGAGGCTCTGCTAGCCTCAAACCAAATCTTGCCCTCCCCCTTCCTTTGTAGACCCTAAACTAGGGGTGGATGTGCCTAGGTAGCTTGCGTACTTAATGCAAGCTGTTGTCACCCTGCCTAAAAAACAAGTTTCATGAGCACATGAAGATCATGTTTTCAATGGCTTAAGGGTAGCATAAAAACCTGCTGTACTTCACCAATAATCCTGCTCTGTGTAAAAATGACAAAAAGTGAAGATTCCAATTTCCAGAGAGAAAGGCTGTGCACACAGAACTTAGGGGCACTTACCTGGAAACAGCTTGGTGCTTCATTGTCTTCAAGGGTTAAGTTTGCAAGATCAGTTTCAGCAATGCTGATATCACTGGTGCTTACTAGAGTGAGGTCTGGTTCTTCCATTATACCATAGCCAGATTCTGTTTCCTGTGTAACAATTTAAAGTGAGGAACGTGTCATACATAAATTAGGAAGACCTTATGGGACTGGGGAATATTCAGAGCATACGGGAGCAATGACATTACTTAAGTTTAACCTAAATGTGGACTGAAGTTTGTAACCTAAAGGAAGTTCTTTGTTGTGTACATGTTCATGTATGCAGGGCCAAAGAAATCAACTTCTGACATAAGTGTGGACGAGGTAGGGTCTCCTGGCTGTCCTCAGGACATTAATCTGTCCCCTTTTGAGGTTCTGTTCATGTTTGATTTAATATTAAGTTTCACACAATGAGAAGTCCCATTTTTTCCCACCCAACCTACTGTAGTACTCTGTGGATCTTGTATACACATACACAAGTATTTTTCAGAACTCTGATGGGAATATCCTTAGTGTCCAATAACCATGGAATTTATGTATGACATGTTCCTCTCATTTTGAATTATTACACAGTAAACAGATTAATCCCATAAGCGATTAATGGTGTGTGCCTTAGCATCAGCCGACCTTTGTTTTGACAGATTTTGGCTGACTGCAGATATCTGTCCATCTCTGTCTTCCCAGCCATTAGATGTAACTGCTATTCCTCCAGCCACAGTATGTATTAGAAAGTGGAAACCACAGCTAGTTGACTATATAAGCTTAGAACTAAACAACTTCTGCTAACAGGATAAGCCGAGCCAGATGTGCTGGAAAGATTTCTTATGAAAAGTGATTAAGTGTTATACAAAACACACCTACTTACCCAGACGGGAATAGAGCTCTGAAATGACTTAGAATTTGTGATGTGCTCTGCTTGTGCTAGCTGAGAAAGGTTTCTTTCGGTTTTAATTTGAATACTCTGTGAATTTCCCTCCGAGTCAAATTTTACATGTGGATTTATAGCTTCATTTTCATTTTTAGTGAGTCTTTGGCTATCTGACATTGTAACCACTTTCCTGGACAGTTCTTGAAAGCCCGACATTTCTTCTTTGCTTTCTAATTGTTTTCCTGAGCACTCACTAGAGATGGAGCCACATGGAGTGCTGTGTTGCAGGTGTAACTGGTCAAATACAGTAGCATCACCCGGTGAACTGCAGACTGGACTCAAATTCTCTGTTGAGGACTGAAAATGAACACTTTTTTTCTTATTTTGTGGTATTTCAGTCTGTTCAGAATAGTTCTGGTTTTCCATGCTTTGGTAAGTACCTCTTGCTTCGATGCTGTAAATACTTGGTAGATCAGCATGTTGGCTTTCCTGTGAAGAGAATTCTGGTAGAAGCTGCTGAAAAGATTGTTCAGATCCTGCATTAAAAAAAATTTCAAAGTCAGCATAAACACTGTATAAAGAAGAGAAAGTCACATTTTAAGTTAAATTGCAAATAGGTTTTATGATCTATAGTTTTAGATGGAAAAGTTGATGTATATAAACATTTGATAACGCACAGTGGTCAGTGATTTTCAAAAAAGCATTCCTAATATCAACTAAATTCCATGGTTATTGGACACTAAGGATATTCCCATCAGAGTTCTGAAAAATACTTAAGTGTATGCGTGTACAAGATGCAGAAAGAAGACTACAGTTGGTTGGGTGGGAAAAAAAGGGACTTCTCATTGTGTGAGACGTAGTATTAAATCATACATGAACAGAAACTAAAAAAGGGACAGATTAAGAAGAAAGACGTGAAAGATAAATGCCAAAGAAATGAAGAGAGTCTTGGAGTTTATTTATCTTTCTCTAATTTAGTTACACGTACCCTCAGCAGCAAAAGTCTGAGCTGCAGCATGAGCCAGGTGAACATCAGGTTGCTGGTTTAGCCTTGAGTTAGAAGAATGCAAGTTGGCTCTCAGTGCTGTGAAACAAACTGTGCTTGTGGACGATACTTTAACATTGGAGCTCTGCGGAGAACAGTAAGAAAGAGAAAGGCTGTAATACTGATTCTATATTACCAGTCAAATCACCCACACCACATATCTTTAATACTATTTTTCCTTCACTACACTTTACCATTATAATCAAGGTCTTGTGATGGCTAAAGAAACTCCATTCCACCCTCCTAAATTCCCAGAAGATGAACTAGCAACCTGTATCCTGCCCATAATGGTGTAACTGCTGTGAGATAATGAACTGCTTGCTCTGGTTTCTGTAAACCCACTTAATGCTGAGTTAGACAGCTCCTTTATCAATGTGTACAAGGGGGAGAAGGACAGTACCTCATGTAGCTGCAAATTCCACAAAAACAAAACTGGTCTTGACCTTTAAAAGTCCCCTAGTCCCTTTTGTGCAGCACACCTTCAATTTGGCTTTAAGGAAGGCTGTTGCCCTGCTAACAGTATTAATAAATTAATCTACATATTATTTGGATTGAGTCTGTTGTCTTTTCCTAGTGGTCTTAGTGAACTCTGTAACAGCGTACTTTTTGATAAATCTAATGTCTCCTTGGTGTTGGAGAATGAATACAAGGACCTATGCTCAATTCAGTCTAAATTCCCAAATCCCTGAAAAAGATATAGGTCTTTTTTTTTTTTTTCCCTGATAAATAGGAACTATGTAAGTACAGATGGGCTGGCAAGATGGCTCAGCATACAAAGGCAATTGCAGCTATGCCCACTGG